CCCTCCGTGCTCCTCACAGGAGCTCAAGCCGTCTCATTGGGTAATTAGTGATCACACTCCCGTGAGGATCTGGAAATCCCAGAAGACCGCTCCAAGACCCACACAGTCTCGAGCGCGTGTCCTCTGACATCTCACCCTCAGAGCATTAACGAACTAGAGTCCAACCTGAGGCTCGACAATTTCCGTTCGGAGCAGCTACAACCCCCCCCCCACCAAGTTTCGCGACCCGACGCAAGGCAATGAGCTGGCCGACAAATTCGCATCGTCGGGAATTAGGGATTTCACACGTCTCAGAGACCTCCGGAGATATACAAAGTTTGTAAGCAAAAGCTGTGATTTTAGATTCGACCGTCGCCAGGGCCACAGTAGATGGCATTGATCATTGATCCCATTCCACGGGGATCAATGGTTTCTAGCCTTCCCCGAAGTGGTACGGCAAACGGCGCCGAAATCCTACCAATAACTTTTCGGGGAGAAAAATGGTCCTTCCACGGAGAGGTGCAACATCTGCCGCGGCATCTGCATGGAGTGAGGTTCCATCGATCGAGCCGCCTTGGATCGGTCCGAATTGCGAATATTTGCAGGCTCCGAAGCATCCTGCATGTGGTCAGACTGATGAGACCTCTTCTGGATATCGACACATTCCGCAATGGTTCGATCCTGCGCTGAAGTCAGGCATTGTGTGTCTCGAGACTCTAGAGCTGCAGAGATTCCGATCCGTCCAGCGTCTCAGGCAAGATTCTTGTATCGATAGACTCGCTTGAGAGCCTGTCCTATTGATCAGTAATCTTCAAGCCGGCAACGGGTCCTTAAAGTTATAATAACTCTCCTCCGCGGTGCTAAATAACTATCTATTCCCTTGGATCGCTCAGGAAATTACAGGGCGTGCTGTACAGCGTGCACCTACCAATACTGGCCTCGCTCCACCGAAAACTCGATGGTGATCTGGGCCGGAATTTTGAATTCTTTCGATGTGAATTCATGTTCCAATTCGAACACGGGATTTTGAGCTCGGTTCTAGCCTGAATCTCCACGCGATTCGATAGAGTCTAACTCTGGAAACATGGATGCGCACTCATCCCAAATCGATTCTCCATCGGTCGTTTAATCTCTCGAATATCGTTGGTCGATCGATGATCGTCAGAAAATAATTTCGCTGATCGCATCAGCGTCTCAGTCAGATACACATAGTCGAAAACACTTGAATAACTCTGTTGTGCAGAAGCGCTCCTGGCTAGAATAAAATATGATGATTCACGACTCATTGTTAGAGGCGACTTGTGAAACGAAACAGTTCTGGCAGAGAGTGAAGATCAGTGTTTGGCCAGCACCCCAGCCAGAGCTTTAGCGAGCTGAGTCGAGCTACACCATCTGCTGTCGAGGGACGGACAGTGAAGCATGCTGGCGGTGAGGGGTGAAAGAGGGTTCGGGCAATGCCGGGGGAATCGGGTGCCGCTCCACCTCTAACGGTACACCATACGAGCGTTGTATCGTGCGTGATCGGGGGTCGTAGCGGGATTTAATTCAGAGAGAGCGCTACACATGAAAGATCGAGGGGGAGAGAGATCGAAATGAACTGGGAACGATGCTTGGCTGCAGGCAGTTCCATCGATGGCACGTCCCACGAGCGAGCCATCGAGTCACTCGGCTAGTCGGTCGGTCACTCACGCAGTGAACTGAGCTCCCGGCCTTTCTGAACAAAAATAAAAATAGGATAACGATTCCGTCGATCGGTCAGTGTAATTTTTCGAGCCGGGTGGCTGGCGCGTCCTCATTCTCTTAAGCATTCGTGCATTCGGCTCCGCGGGTTGACTCCGTGGAACGCTGTCGGGGTCGCTATTTCGTGAGGTCTTCAGGAGCGAGAGAGGGGAGTCAGGGTTCCTGCGAGGAGTTTCCGGAAAAAAATCCCGTGAGGAAGGGGTCGGTACCGCTTGCCAGTGAAGTTTTCCTCGGCAGTATTGGGTCCTGAGACCCCTGGTTGGTTTTTCTTCGCTTCGGGTTCGTCTCTGGAAGCAGTCGCTCATCGTCATAGTCAATATTGAGTTCACTGACCTACCTACGCAATAGTAATTGATTTTATCAATTTTGGAAATGTAGATCAGCATCCATCGGATAAGCAGTGGAGACATGCAGAGCCCGCGGTTGCGTGCCAGAACCTACCATGATCTCTTCCCGATACCGCCCCAGACGGTATCGTCTGTCGAGCAGCAGGATAGAAATTGTGGAAAAATTGTCTGACTCGGATCAGTTTCGCCTGAGCCGCTCAACTTCCATCAGTTGAGAGGCAGGGCCGGTTTGATTGGGGTTGAGCGACCCATCCAGTTCGAGAGGAGCCGGTGGGTCGGCTGGATTGGAGAACAGCCCCTCGCTCGCTCGCGCCGCCGTGACTCGTGCAGCCACTATCCTGAAGACTGGCGGAGCTTTCGCAGCATTGATAACGGTGATTGATATCTGTTCACCGGGAGCTGTTCGGCGCCTGAATCGAGCGAGGTTGGCTTGCCGGACCGTTCGCTAAAAGCTGGCCTGAAAAATGTACAGCATTATCGGCCTGTGATCGCACGCCCTGCTCGGCCGCTGGAACATAGAGCGCAGCTCTCGCTGCTATCCTTCATACGAGCTGCTTCGCTCTGATATCTTTTCCATCGATCATTGTAAGCGAACGATTGTGAACCGAGGCCAGGACCGTAGGTCTCTGGCAGCGTTCCTTTCCGTGTCCTTCGGTTTTCTTTAACCACGAAAAGAAGGCTCGCCGAATTTCACCACCGTATCCTGCTCCTCCATTCGATGCTCCTCTCCACCGCATCGGCTCGGAGCCATACCGCAGGACAAGGAGCGATATCCCAGCGAGCATCCCGGGGTAATCAGCTCCTTCATAATGCGCTGAGTGGATCCGACCGACGATGCTCGAGAGTACGAGATATCGAGGGGGAACAGCGATCAACAGGTAGCTTCCTTGCCGAATCCCAGCAAACCCGGACGCCCGATGAACACTCGGCTTCGTACTCGGTTAAAATAGCGTTCCAGACGACGCGCCTAATGCCTCCGGCCTGCTTGTCACTCGCGTGCCATCAGCGGAAAGATACGTTCCTGCCTAGAGCAAATAGAACTCCGCTACAGCATCAGAGAACGCCTGTTTCAGGATGGTAGGGCAGGCACGGTTGCCGACGAGCAGCCGGGAGATGTGAGGAAGGGATTTAGATGGGAACATCGGCGACGGGGGCGTTAGTCGGCCGGCGGCGGCGGCCGGAGCAGAGGCAGCGTCAGAGATAAGTAAAGAGCCGCGTCGTCGTCGGTGGCGATTCCGCTCAGCCGGTGGCGTGTTTCGGGAAGCCATGTATCATATCTATTATCGTCCGCTTACGAAACCTCGTCGTCGACGGCGGCTTTAGGCTCATTTTAAACGCGAGTGATAGATAGCGAGCTGGCGGGTGAGAGACAAGTTCAGAAAGGAACATTATCGTTCCTTGCGTCGTTTGTCCGTCGCCGAGCTCGTCCGCCTTCTGCTCGGGCCGTCTGGTCGATACTTCATGAAAACTCCGTGGAGGGCCCGAGAGCCGGTTCCGTCTTCATTTGAAAAAATGGCGGGTCAAGGTTGGACGAGGCGAGTCACCATCCGACTCGGGGTTTCGCTCCCTGCGGAACTCCATCTACCTCGACTGAATGCCTGCATCGGCAACATCTATGGCCTACAGAGCTCGAGCTCGGAGTCGGAATCCAGCTCGGCAACCGTTGCGCAAGGTTGACGTCAAGCTACCGCTCCGGAGAAAATCTTCGGAAGAAAAAGTGATGATCAGCTGACGAATCCTGTGACCGCTCTACACCGCGGCGGAGGAGTCAGCTGACCGACTGACAGAGATAGAGTCGAGTAGTGGCTCTCCGTAGGTAAACCGGCGATTCGCTCCCGAAGAGAATCTGACGGAATGCGATAGTGGAGCTTAGTCTGATTGAGGGGCTGGCGTATGGGCGGGGATGAGATGAAGAAGAAGGAAAAGGAGGAGGAGAAAACGACGCCGACAACATGAAATTAGAGAACAAATCACCACCAGGGCCACCGCACTGGCGCTCATATGACTCATATCCGGACAAGAAAGAGCTTCGGGGATCGTGTGAGGAGAACTATAACTCAATAATAGATGGCGCTCTGGATGGAATGACCTCTTCTCTGGTCGGGACGAATCGCTCAATCTGGGCTGGCCCGTTCGTCTGTCGGTCTCACATGCGATCAGGCAGCGCGCCAACAGAGCGCAAGGACAAGTCGTGCTCTTTCTCTCCAAGCACGAACCACGGGATTGTCAGTCGCCCAGCGATGATCTATACCTCATAACGCAAGCGGCTCGACAGAACAAGCACTCGGCCGGCCGCCCGCCCGCTCATCCGACCGTCCAACCCAGTCCTCGAGCATCTGAGCGAGTCGGAACAGGGTTACAAACTCATTCGCTTGGCGAGAGTCGCGACCGAGCAAAGGAACCGATGAGGACAGCTAGCTGGGTCTGACTGAGCCACGGATTCGCTGCTTCCACCGCTTATGCTGTTGCCAACGCAGCCGCTGCTACAGCTGAAGTCGCTTGGGGTGCCGCTGCCGCCTATTGCCGTTCGGAGGACAATTGTCAAGTGCTGACTGTCGTCCTCTCGGTCAGCCGAATCGTTATCTACGAAGCATAAGACCCCCTAAGCCGTCAATTGCGCCCGCTCCCCTCCCTATCCATAGATCTATCTGACTATTGTTGTCAATCCCGTATACCTAGCTGGGAGAGCGCGAAATTCTCATTAATGTCTCTCGGAGAAGGAATAGATGTCCAATGTAGGCCTTAAGCATGCAACCCCACTCGGGAATCGCGACGATAAGTATAGGTACACATGATACATAACATGTATAAATGATATAATTCTCGGAAAAAAGGAGGAGGGGGGAGACGTGATGGGAATCCCGGTCCCGGGAGGGGGAACTTCGGTCGATAGTTTTTCGGAACATCATGACTGACAATTTTTTCTCTTTACAGATTACGCATGTGCCTCACCTCGACTCTACATACCCTCAGACTACAACCCGCAAACGGGACTCACGTCCTCGTCGACTACTTCTTCGCCGGCGGGCAGTCCCCGGGACTCGGACTTTCGGTGCTCGCATCAAATACCGTTGACGAGCACTCTGATAACACTGGCGACAAATCTGAACGCGACGAATTCATCGACAACGAACCCCGTGACAACGACGACAACGAATGGTCCGACGACGACGACGGTGGTAGCCGTGGCGGCGGCGGCGCCAGCGGGTGCAGCAACCAATGGCAGCAATTCCTCTTCGACGACCGCGGCGGCGGCGGCGGCGACGACCGGTACCACCGGGTCTGGGTTGGTGGCGGCGGCGGCGACAACGACGGCGTCGTCGTCGTCCTCGACAAAAACCTACCATCAGTTAACAACTGCCCATGAGTCGGTGTTCGATCTGAACGGTATTGAAAGGACATTTTTCGCCAAAGCCGTCGCCGAATCACGTCAAGAAGAAGAAACGGCTGCTTCGAAAGCTTCGATTTCAGCTTCGGTTCCTTCACGCTCGGCTACACCGAATTCCCTGACGCCGAGCTCTCTGCCAACATCCCCCGCGCCTTCGTGCAGCCTGCTGGCATCGCCTTCGATCGGTGATGGCCGGAGTGCGCGAAGCAAACGACGTTTGCACTCTTCATCTGCGAGCAATTGTTCGTCGGACAGCGAACGTTCGTCGAGTCCGTCCGGCAGCGGAAAATACGTTTGTCTCGAGTGCGGGAAACACTACGCAACGTCGTCCAACCTTTCAAGACACAAACAGACCCACAGGAGCCCCGACTCTCAGCTCGCAAAGAAGTGTCCAACTTGTGAAAAGGTGAGCACGTCGCCCGCCATGCTCCGTAACCTCTGGGCTTAAGTCGATTTTTCCCTTGGTCTCCTTGTATTTTCCCTGTGTTCTCCTCAACTTGGTGAGCCCGGCTCGTTCGTTTGAATGAGAAAGGCGCATCAGCACACGGGGTTGTCGTTGACGCCAAACTTCCCTTTTTTCTCGCTCCAATGCCCTCGCCAACCACCACTCCTACGCTCTACATACTCCTCGAACGGAACCATGTTTCCCACAGGGTTCACTTTCCTCTCAAAGCGGAACAACGGGACCTGGTCCGTCTGTCTGTTTCTTTTTCGGCAGCTCGGAACACCTCCCCGCCGTCAGTCTATTCATGGAATTCGAAGCAAGCGACATACATTTCAATGTTTTCTACCGGTATGGCTCGCTCATGGCCTGACCGAGTGGTAGACTGATAGACAATCTGACCGAGAGTTCCCAGTAGCTGATTGCCGCTCTCGGCGAGATGGCTCTTGGAGCAGATTTCAGATATGGAGTGTCGTTGGAAAAAAAAACATCAGACTGGGATGAAGAGCGAAATATTGAATCCGCATCGTTTGCCATCCGCTTCGTATTTTCGCGACGCATTTTTTCCATCCATATCGCTCGGCTTCCCCCGATCGTAGCGATAAGCGACAAGTCTCCTCGGTTCGGTATCTTGCCAAGCCAGCGGAGAAGGGGACGGAAGAGACGAGAGGATTCTTCGAGCTCCGTTCAAAATTCCAAATTAAGGCGCCTTTCTCGCAGGTGTATGTCTCAATGCCGGCGTTGGCGATGCACATCCTCACCCACAACCTCAGTCACAAGTGTAACATCTGTGGTAAGGCCTTCTCGCGACCGTGGCTGCTGCAAGGACACATGCGATCGCACACAGGCGAAAAGCCTTTCGCCTGTGTTCAGTGTGGCAAGGCCTTCGCTGACCGCTCTAATCTTCGGGCGCACATGCAGACGCATTCCACTTCGAAGCATTTCCAGTGCCCAAGGTAAGATATTACGTGCGAAGTCTCGCCTTTGGAACACTCGACGCAGTGCATGGTGGCGAGCATGAACAAGGGGGAGTCGACGTCGACGACGAGGAAAATCCAGAGACAGATCGACAGACAAGCAGTCGGTCGGTCAAGCGGGAATAAGACGGGGCCACTTCGCCCCGCCGCCAGCGCGCTCGCGGAGGAGCGCCCAGCCGGCCGGCCCGCAAGAGAGGAATTATGGGGAACGGGTCTTGACGAGCCGCAGGGGAGACAGAAACATCAAAGAACATCTCTGCGGCGGGCGTTCATCCGGAAATGCCAGGGCGGCACGATTGCCAGCTATTTAGTTATTCCTCTTCGAGGCTGGCAGGTTGACTGGCTCACTTGCCGGCGCCGGCCGTCTCGTCGTCGTCGGCGGCGGCGGCGGCAGACCCACTTACCTCGCTCGGGGTTTGACTTCTTCAAGTGGTTTTCTCCGGTCGTTTCACCGACCGTCCGTGCGATGACCGTTGAATTAGGCCGTCCGCCCGGCCTAGCTGTCCCCATCCAGATTTTCACTGACGAGGACAAAGTTCATCCAGTTCTGTCTTCACTGGGTTCGACGGACAAGTCGTCTTTTAGGAGCGTAGTGTTTGTTGCCGGTGCAGGTCGTGAAGAAGGAAGGGATAAGGGAAATCCTTAGACGGCAAGCAAAGTTTTCCCTCGGTCAAAGCGACTAATCCGCTTCTCTTGTAGGTGTGACAAAAGCTTCGCCCTGAAGAGCTACCTCAACAAACACCTCGAGTCGGCGTGTCAGACCAAGGACGACAGCAGCTCGAGCTCTCGTTCTTCGATGGCTGAGGCGTAATCATGGAGGGAGCGACAATGAAGCTAAGGGTCCATAAATCCATCGAATTCGTATCTGTCTACCTCCGCGTCTGCGTTATCCTCCTGCAGAAAAACAACACGAACACCGCAATCCCGACGGGACTCTCGAGGGACATCGAGCGGCGTCGAAGAATCGTAGCGAACGAACTCATCGAAAACTGCAGGGAACTCAATGTTCACCACGAGCCCATCCGCAATGGAATATTTCGTGCGTTCGAGGCCGGAAAGAATCCCATATGTTTCTGCGAGGCACCCTATGGATCGCGACATCGTAACTTATACGTAGCAAACGACGGTGAAGGTGCTCCACGTCTTCCACACTCGATGATCGGGAGGAGAACTCGTGCTCCGGTTTCTGTTCGGTGCGCCGTGATTTTTTTCGTGTTAGAGCTCTCCGAGCATCCGGTGCGAATGCTGGACAATTCCCCCTCGCGTCCATTCTTTCCCCGGACGAGGAATGTGGAAGATGCGACCAGCGAATCATCGAACGGGCGAGTGGAACAAAGAAAATGAGTGAAAGGAGCAGACAAGGAACTCCGGGTGTTGGGAGAAAAAACGAGCCAGTCAGCCATCGACATGGTTCGGCAACAACAACAACAGCGACAGCAGCAGAAGCAACCAGGGAGCGGAGGCTTCATAAAAACGAAACGGCGCATTTTATGCCTTATGGGAGCTTCCGTTTGGAGGTTGCGCACTTCCTGGCCTGTACCCCTTGGGAGTTCATCCGCTGCCGCCCTCCCGAAACTGGTCTCCCCACTTCTTCGGAATCCTCCTCTCCCAGCATCTCTCGGTCGGCAGGATGAGGTTCCGAACTGACTGGGAGCTGCGGTCGTGTAAACCAGCACCGTAGCACAACCGAAGATCCCATCATCCGTTCTTTTGCTCGTCGTCTTTGCACATCCCTTCTCCGTGCTCGTTGAAACACCCTCTCCGTCTGCCGGCCCGCCAGTCGGCCAGGCAGCCCGGCCGCCCGTCCGCCCGCTCGTTCCGTTCCCCCTTTTTTCGAATGACGATGAGATTGAATCTTCGGCCGGACGAATCTTTCCGGCCCGCTGCGTGATCGAGTACACCTGCGAACACAGTCCAAGTCAATGACGTATTCGATTCGGTCGGTCGGCCATCCGCTCGCTCTCGGGGACGCGCGCCCGCTCTCCTGGCGATTTCTCATATTCATCATTCCGACCGCGACGGAGCGGGGGCGGCAGCGGCCAGATCTTGACGGAAACTCGCTGAACGAAGAGCTGTTTCGGGCTCGCGGCTTGTAAGAGTCTCATGCATCCACTGGGATGGACCGCTTTGGCAGATTGTCCCGTAGATCAGTGATATGTGATATAGATTGTATATTCAGTATTCATCCGAAACGAGAAAAAAATCGTGATGCGAACACCAGGTACCGATTGGGGATACCACGAATCTCGATGGGTACGAACTGAGGCTTACGAAATCGAGCCGGTCCCATGGAAAGTCCCAGCGCCCTCCCAAACTCCTCGGAAGGCGTACCGCTGGAAGTCGCATCGTGACTATGACCGATCATCGATCGGTAGCAACGATGGAATCGCGACCGAAGAGTCGGCGATCGATGAGCTCGTCGAATTAGGGCACTGGTCGATCGAGAGCGATTGCGTTCTAGACCGATTCTAGACACCAATTCGAGTCTCGTCGAGCTGTTAGACTATCAAAGTAAGGAACTTGCTTCTCCGGTGGTTCATAATCTTGTATGACCTGTGTATGTAGAGTTCCATTATATTTTTATTACCGATCCCCATGCGAGTTCTTACATGTATAGGCGCGCGTTTCGCCTTTTCAACGTGATTTCTTGATCTATCTGCTACATTGCAATCAGTGAAGGAATTGACAATGAAGTTATAGACAATGATTCATTCTTACAACCTAACGAAATGGTCGATGCCGATCACCACCGACTGAGACACATTCAGAGTGTCAAACTACAACTCAACAATCAACGACACGCCTCAATACGAAGAGCGATAACTACCAGGTACTTATGTGAACTATGCCTAACTAAGCTGAATATTTATTGAGCAACGACAGTAATAATATATTCCGAATGAGTAGCGTTATCCGCGGTCTGAGCCAAGGTTACGACTCATAACAGAAATGGTGAGAGTCTTCTAGTCAAACATTTTGTGTAGGATATTTATATATGCGATATATCCGATGGAAAAATCCGCAACGCAAGTAATAATTTTCATGGAGAGCCTCACTCAGATATCGGTTTGCAAGCCTTGCATGAGGAAAGCAAGGAACAATGCTTGTGCAAGATGATTCGCCTGAACATTCAATTTTTGAACTGTGGCCATCGAATGCGAGCCTGACAGTAGGGCTTAGGTATGCAAAATCATTCAGATACAACAATCTTTTACAAGCTGAAGTTGATCGACTGGAGCAATAATTTTTGGCGTCACCCAGCGCCTGATAACTCCTCAAGCCGAATGAATAATTATATCCTCAATTTATGCTGATGAGCGGACGTAAAAGTCTGAATGCTACTCCCAGTGAAGTTCGAGAGCTTCCAATAATATGACTAACACGAGCAAGAGCGAGATTATCGATCTGTGGAACCGATACCGGCGTCGATAGCCTAGCCAATGTTACCACTACATAGAAGCTTATCTCCTCGCCACCGGTCGTCATCAAGCTCCTCTCACAAAAGCCCGAAACCCCCATCTTACCGAAAGAGACAATTTGTGGTCAAAACCCCCGGGTTACTCTACCCTGAGTTCGAGAGGGCTCAACTCCCTCGATCCCTTCGCAACGATATCTTCTTCTCATCACTACGCATTTCTGAAGGGCTCCGAAATTACGTGCCACGTGAAACCACACTCTGTACCACCTGTTCGCGGCGGCGGCAGACTAAATACGGTGTCATTGAACAAATCTCTCGAAATCGGATTAAAGCCCGTAATACCCCTCGTTTCTCCTGCTCTTGCTTCTTCCCTCAACTTATTCACTTAGTGACGGGAACCAGTGGCGATGGCGACTCAGGCGTTTTAGAGACTACATATTTGGAGACGATGTTCAGAGCTTTGAGATTATTAGGAGAACGTGCAGCCAGCAAGCTGCATACCTACACTGCAGATTGAATGTATTCGCGAGCAATAAACTACATAGGTATGAGAATATGCTATTCTCTCCGTCTCACTGCTTGTGGGAAACGGAACAACGAAACCTCGTCGTAGTCGTCAACGGGAATCCCATCCGCCTGACATATTCATCATCGATTTGCGATTCTATGCAAGTCGGCTTTCAAGCCGGCTTCGACGGCTTGGGAGAGGGGTAGGAGTTGGGACCGACGCGACGGCGGTGCGGCTCTAACTCCGCGCCGCGCCGTCGGTGGCTCCTTTGCGAAATGCTCAAAAAGGCGGCCGGGATACCCGAACGGAACTTACGTAATCTAATGCTTGACAATTTATCGTCGAAGGCCGAGCTCATCTGGATACGGCGGTCCTCTAGCCGCCTGCCCGCCCGGCATTACCTAGGGAGGGAAGCCAGCGATGTGTACTTTAGCCCGTGTTCTCGTCCGCCCTCAGATTATCCGCCGCGGGACGAGATCCAACGCCATCCACCACACTTCAGCCGCGACACCATTGTGTGTTTTTGAATGTGGAAAATTGCGTGCGTATATTCAGGGGGCGAGTTTTAATTTGGACGACGATTCCGCTCCATTCCCTCCCTACCGTTCTGAACGTTTGGATTCCGCGCTTTTCGACGTCGGATCCATCCCGTTGCCATTGCCTAACTCGGCCATTCTCGCCAAATGTCTAGTCTATTTAGGTATGTATCAGCTGAAATATGCAAGAACTACACGTGAGACAGCGCTGAGGCGGACCGTGCGTGAGTTTAGTCCATGGAACTAGCTCCGACTGATTTTATTGTACCAGAACATTATTCTATTACGGTGCCATTCACGATATTCATGGGGATATTGCGAGTGGAGGTCGTAAAATCACAAAGCATGTATACTTCAATGACGATCGTGCCGATCTTAAAGTTGGTGGTATCGATTCGGATGGTGATCATAGTTTTTAGAATCGGACGCGTTTTCCAGCGGGATCGTATAACTTTCAAGCTGGTTCCGAGGGTGGGATGGCAGAAATTTATCGCTTTGATTGGATTATAATTTTCCACCGCGATTCTCTTTCGCCCGTCGATCCATTCCCACCCATGAACCGTTTCGATATTCTACATTCGCTGACCAACACCAGAGCAATAATGATTACTACCTATATACTATTATTAAGGATAATAATTGAGGTAATACCAATACAGAAGATATAATAATTCTGGATGGAATGTAATAATATACACACATATATTTATTCTGAAGATTATTATAATGAGTACGGTGATGATATATTTGAATTTACTTCAGTTGTAATACGATGATGAAGTAATGGCATTGACGAAGTCTTTAATATATGAACGGAATCGGTGGTACAATTATTTATTGTCTCGTGTCAATCACCGTCTCTACACGACCATACCGACGTCGATGGTTTATGAACGAGGAGAACCGACTCAGCGGGGACCTATTCCTCTCAGTCTTTGGAAGCGAGAATGGGAGTTCTATTCCCAGTCTGATCCCCATGCCACTTGAAGAACGCAGCGAACCCATAGACTAGCTGCACTGGCGGCGACCTTCCCAAAACCCGGATCGGCTGTTCAGTTTACGACTGAAGCCGATCAGCGTACTTAATGATGGAGGAAACGAATACAACGAGAGCATACGGTGAATTGTAAACAACGAATTGAATAAACGATAATTGAAGAGCTGGCGACATTCGGAAGAATGTTCATTTCAAATATTCTCGACTTTTCACTTGGGTACTCGGTTAGATCTGGCTTGATTTTTTTCAGTAGAGTCGTTATTGGATGTGGAATATAATCTCTCCCTCTGGATTCCGGTCGACGTTTTCGGCGCTTCCAGCCCAGGCGTCACAGACAGTTCGATATTCGATT